TTTTCAATTTATATTTTTCATTGTCAAGCATGTCACATATTTATTTAAATTTTCTACAAAGCTATGTAATTTGGAAATATCTTTTAAATATTTAATTTGTTTATCATTGTAATATCGTTACTTGTTGATACATTGTTATACTGAGCTAAATTAAATAAACTAACATAAATTTGGACCAAACTAAATTTTTTATTGAAATGTTATTGAATTTTCATATGTATAAAAAATTAATTTACAACAATATTAATATAATTACGTATACAAATAAATGTATCTTGCTTTCTACTCTGTGTATATTTTGAAATCTTATCTCAAGCGATGTAAACTTTTTGAGTTTATACATCGAGTGAAATAAATTTGAGAGTTCAAAGTTTAGAATGTGACAAAGGAAGTAGAAACACGAGATAACGTTCTCAACCTAGAGAGAATGTAATCGTTGATCCTTCCGCTACCCTACGAAATGGATGGAACACGTAATCATGAAACCAACAACCGCATTCCTCATATACGTACTAAATAGGACCTCACAACTGCATAAGGTCTACCTGATACGAGGACTCTGTTTCATTGTATTACGAGTCATTGCTCTTCTTCTTTAGAATACATACCACCACGAAGAATTGTAAATTTTGCATTAGGTCATCTAATACGTAATACAATTTACTTATTAAACAATATAAAACACAAACAAAAATTCTAAAAATTATATAAATTTTTTATAAATAATACAATAATTAAAAAAATTATGTAATGGAATTGCAATTATAAAGAGAGTCGCGTTAGGGATAAATATATTTCACGTAAAAGACATTTTTGATTCGAATAACGTAATTAAAGATCACTTTATATTAGCATTCCTTATATTTAAGTATATTTAACATTGGTACTTGGCGAGTATGTGTGTCAAGCATTTGGGGCACAGCTTCAGGCTATGGATCATTGATCAACGCAAGAATTCGACTTGCATGTTCTTCTTACGTCCCTCTTACGCGAGATTCATAAAGTGGCACATTTTATTCTAGAAGTATAAAACAGTTCAAGTTATACTTGTTTTTTAATAATATAGCTTTTAGTAAAATGGATAAAATAGTATTTATATTGGATTATTTAAAATAGAAATATATTAAAAATGAATCGTTAATAGCACTACAATGTAGCACTACAAATATATTAATATTATAATTATAAAAATAATTAACATTAAAAAACCATTATATATTTTTGAGTTATTTGATTCTTAAATATTTATTATTATATAGAGGAAACTATTGTACATTTTTTATGATTACAGAATGTGTTGAAGGACACAGTGGCTGCAAGAGATGTAGAGATGGAACATGTGCAAGATGCGCAGTTCTTTTACATCAAGGAATTTGTGTCGATACTTGTCCACCAGGTCATATTGCAGATTGGTCAACTAGAGATGAATACATGGGCAGAATTTGTAAAGAAACAGGATATATGTTTGGATTTACTGGCAGTCAAGTAGCCATTTTGGTAGGAGTTGTTTCTGGTGCAACTATATGTATTCTGATAATATTATGCGGGGCTATAATTGTACATAGAAGAAAGAAAAAAGCTGCTAAACTAATCCAACAGTTTGAAGACAGGTATTCTTTGCTATATCTTTAATGTATTGTAAGTGTGATTAAAAATGAATAATATTAAAAATATGATTTAATTTATGTTTTAGTGCAGAGAGAAGAGAATTTTTGAAACATCTTGCAATGCTTAGAGGGGAAGGCAACACGTTTCTTTCTATGCTCAATGACACAAGGAGACAAGTTAGGGAGTTGTACTATTCAGGAAATAATGGAGATGGTGCTGTTGGAATACAAGCCTATAGGTACAATTATGCAATTAGCATAAGCTATCGATTGATATATTCTTTCTTTATTATAATTATGATTTATAGACCAGTTTTGCGGGATTTGGCAAGGATACTGGTTCTTATTAATAGGAGAGACGATGAAATACCAATTCCTCCAGATGATTGGCAAAGACTTTTCTCATGGGCTGAGAGATTATTAAGAAGATACAAAAGGCACAGCTCACCTGAAGTAAGCTAATTTCTTTGTTTAAAACTTATATGAAAAACAAAAATCGAATTCCAAAGAGCTTGTTATTCTAAATTTTGCTTTTTTTCATGCAAGTCTCTAAAACACTTTGGTGAGTCATGCACGTTGAAGGAGTAATTACATATGCATGAGTAAAAAAGAATTTCTTTTAAGTGAAATTATATAAACCAGTAAAAAATTATGTATTTTGTATCAAATTTAAAGGATAACATTTTATACTTCAAGGTGGCTCAACTTATAACATTCTTACAACAACCAACAGCATCCGTCCAAATAAATTCAACACAGCAAGTAACAATCACACAATCACCTCAGCCTTATGAAACAAGAACCACTCCAACCAATCTAACTACATTCCAACCAAATGCACCACTTACAACATTTCAAGCAAGCGACAAATCAAGTATCAGCCCTGCAAGTTCCAGTCTTGGATATATAAAAGATAGCCCTGTGAGCTCCAGCCTTGGGCAAAACAGCTCTGGAGCTTATAACGAGAAACTTAGTCCAAATGGATCTAGCATAGGACAAACAACTCCACTAGTATATGATAACCAAAAACGACTGAAACCTTCGAATACACATTTCCAAGAACTTGCCATTTCCACTTTTAATCATAAATACAATACTGGTGCAACATTAACAGAATCCACTTGTGCAATAGATGAATGCGAGGCAAATGGACTCGATCGTGAATTAAATCCTCAGTGGGAATTTCAAAGTAGTACAGAGGCTGCTAACTATACTATTTTATCAGATTGGTCACCTGCTCGTGAATACCTCATTGATGACTTTACAATTCTCGGTTTCCGACCACAAGATGAAATTACCACGGAATTGTAAATAATATATTATGATATACATAATTTATATATTTCTTTATAGTTTTTGCTCATAAATATATATTTTCTATAAATAAAAAAATTTTCTATTTTATAAATAGGAAATATATATTTCATTTATTTCTATTCTTTCGTTCATTCTAAAACTGTAATATCTAAAGCCATAATCGAGAAATATCATGGACTCTCATATTATTGGACTAATTTATTCGTATATAATGCATTTTCAGCCATTCTTATAAATAAAATTTTAAATAAATATATTATTTCTATATCATTCTTTAGACATTCAAGTATATATAAAATATTTCATAATTATTAGGTTGATTGAGACAAGTAAATTTTTCATACCAAAACAAATAGAAAAATTGTACCTAAAGCTTGATTTTCAAGAACCAGAAGTAAAAATTTCCAGCCTATATTTCTAGCACATGCTATTTCAGGTATTAGATGGTAGAATGCATAAAATATTGGTTTCTCAATGTTTTTTTTAGTATTCAAGAGCTGTAAGAAAGAAAATAGATATTATGTTCTTAATTTATTCGTAATCTACTATGTTAATGTAATAGACGTAAAACATATCTTTCATTCAAAATCATTATTCAGATATTTTTTGATCTAAACACATGATGCGCTAATGCACATTTGATCCTATACCTAAACAGCATGCACCAGAATTAAAACACTTAAAATCTTCAAACCAAATCTTCGAATTGTACAACTTAATAAAATACTTCTTAATTTCTTTTTGTTTAGGACAAGTTGTTTTTCTTGATATTCCATGATTTTGAAAAAATCTGTATGTGTCTGTATGCATGTATGTATCCTAGTTTGTGTATTATATATGTATGAGTTCTGCGATAGAATGAATTTATGATACTATCAGCTAATTGTAAGCGTTTTGTTTAAATGATATTCTTTATTTAATTTCTATATTACAAATTAATAATTATTATATAATTTACTGTACTAGTCAATATTTCCTTTTATGCAAGAATATGAATTATGTTATGAAATTATGTCCTTATACTACCAATGTCTGAAGTAAGTCTATAAAAATAGTTTTAGATCTTTAATACAAATATTTTTTTATCGATGCACCAACATATCATTATTAATTAAAAATTGCAAAATATTTACGATATAACACATGTATGTATACATACCTGTATATGTTGTTACATAAAAGACCAGAATGGTCGGCTGTATGTACAAATTGATGTAAATAATATTTTACTAGCAAATATGTAAGATAATTATAAATATAATATATATATATATATATATATACATATATATACCTAAATATAATCAATCCATCTTTTTATATTTTTAATTAATTTTCATTTTCAAAGGAACTATTTTTCTACAATTATAACATTACAATAAAATGTTGCTGTGTTTAAAATATTATCATTTTTACAATTCTTTCTGTGCGGTAAAGTTATATAATTTATACAAATTCAATTGTTTGTATCAATTGTTTTTTACAGAAATTAATCTCCTTTTATTGTTAATTGACTTCTAAGAAAACGTAATATTTCGATCAGAAATTTAGATAAATAAAAATTATTAAATAAAATTATTCACACATTTTAGATTTTGATGTTTCTAATTTGGCGGGTTGTAACACAGGAAGTAATAAAACGGCGCGCGCACCCGGATGCTGCGCGCGCATACTGAATGAATTAACAAAGAGCACTTGACAAATTTCATTTTGCCATATTAACAATTAGGCGGTTTATTTCCAGAAAATTTCGTTGGAAATTTGTTTTTCGTTATGGCAAGTTTATTTATCGGGTGATTTTTTCATAGAAATCGATGAAAAACTAATCGACTAAATGATGCACCAAACGCGTAAGTTCCTGCGGGGTGGGCGAGGGACGCCATGACAGTCGTCGTATTTTCTGTTAACCGCGAGCACGTATGCCCTTGCCAGCGTTTTCGTGAAATTGTTGCACAGGTTGCTGTCTATCTGGATCAAAATTGGCAAGCTCGTTTCCTGAATTTCGCAGACTTCCCTTGGAATATATTGTGGAGGTGGAGGGCGAGGGCGCGTGGCCATTATCAGGGATTTGCTTGTGGGTACCCGTGGCGAGGTGAGACGTCGAGAGGCGGCGAAAGGCGTCCCCCCCTGCGTCGGGACGCGCGTCTCCCTGCATACGAGACGGCCTAGGGCCGACCAAGCGAGATGCCAGAACCGCCGACGGCACCGTACACCACGTGAGTCCACCCTCCGAGCACTCTTGATTATCGCTTCGGCCCTCTTCGACGGTTTCTAGAAATCCCCTTGCCCCCGTATCCCGAGGAACCTCCATCTTGTAGCCTCTTGTCCTCGTTCTACGAGTCACGATAATTGACGCGTCATATGCCTGAGACACCAGAAGATGGTGCCCGTGAACCCTCCGTTAACTGCGAGGGGATCTGCGGCGAGTCCTGACAAATGTGGAAATATATCTGCGTACTCATTCGAGCCGTTTGTACTTACGCCTAACATTATACCATTTCACTCTATCAGCCTTTGTCGCCTTCAAAAGATGGTATTGGATGACTCACCCTTTCCCGCTCACTCAACAAAGAACTCTTAAATATCTGTGAGGTTAAATTAACTACTTTTCTTCTTTTTGTAACGTGTCGATACTTTTTTCACGATATTAACCTATCCATAGGAGCATTATATAATAATAAGTATCCGCCCAATGCTGTCTCGAGTTCATTGTATTTAGAAAGAGTTATTTCTCTTATTGATATTAAACCAATTGATTTCGAGGTTAAATCACAAGGTTTATTTTACTAGTCAGTTCCAATGGTGCAAAGGGCAATATAGATACTTTACTAATTATATATCATATCGTTTTCATAATAATACTGATTTCATTAATTTTATTCATTTTACAAGTAATGAATATATCTTATCAGATTTTGTAGAATATTAGGAATTTAGGCAAGAAATAATTTTAACTAAATTATTTTGCAGGATGAGAAATGAAATATATCAAAAACGTTTAATTAGTATCCTTCAGTGAATAAAGATGAACAGTGAGCAGCATGCATTGCCAGCGACTACGCAGGCACAGCAAGAGGTAAGACCATTTTCAACTGATATGGGCTATTTACCAAACCACAAATGCGCAACTGATATATTAAATATTACATTTTGAAAATATTGTGTAATAAATTGAGAAATCCCTGTTCATTGAAATATGTATATGTATTCCCTTTATAAATTCTTCAACAAATACTCACTACTATTTCAATGCATTAATTTTTTTTAGAACTCTGTTATACCTGCTTATTCTTTTGTGCAGTTTTACATAAAATTTATGTTTGGCAGTAGGAAATAAAATTTTTTGTGTATGATGAAATTTTGTATAAAACTTTATACTTCTCCTTTTTTTAAGTTTTGCTGCTTGTAGTAAATTTAAATAAAGTAGCTTTTGCTTGAATATTTTGTATTTATCAGCTTGTTCTTTTTGCAATATAGGTATTTATAAAGCATATTCTGTATGTTAAAAGAAATAAATTTTCCCAAATATGTGTATATAGTGTATAGTATTTATAATTTTCATTATAGTGTAATTCACATTACACTGTAATATTGGATATAAATGTATAAGCTTTTGACTGTAAGGTATATATTTTGTATAATTTTAGATTTAGGTATAGCTATATTTTAATTTTTGCTCAAATATGGATTTGGTATATACATATCAATAAAATCCTGGCGATGATTGCACGAATGTATTACAAATTAATTTATAGCTTTTGTAATGCTAGAAAAAGGAATTTGAACACTAGCGCATTTGTTGATTGGATTTGAGCCTGATGCATGCTGCTGCATGCTCTATCAATGTTGTACAAATGTTTGAATGTATATCGGTAGGATGTAAACGCGGGTCAAAGTGGTCGTCCTTCATACCCAGGTGGTTTGGCTACAACAACCAGTCTTGGCAATGTAGGGAGTACCCCGCATTCATCCGCGGACCTGCGTGTAGGTACAGCCGTAGCGTTAGCCTCCTCGGTAGCTAAATATTGGGTCCTCACCAATCTCTTTCCTGGACCGCTACCTCAGGTCTCAGTCTATCATCATTCCCACCACAACTCCTCACATAGGAGTAGTGGAGGTGGAGAGGCATCTTCCAAAGAGCCAGCCTCTTCATTGAACCAAGAAATGGCGTTGACTTCCAGTTCACATCATCAGTCAACACCTACACACCATCATCACCAACCTTCAGTTAGCAGTAGCAGTCATCATAGTTCTTTACAACCAAATTCACAGGTTTGTTTACTTAGAGGTATGCAATGACTAGTTATTGAGTGTAGCTTAAAAATGACCCAGGTTTAGTATCTGCGTTTGCAGGAATTGTGGTAATATACTGTATTGTATGTAATCTCATATAAGTGTGAGTAGATAACAAAGTTATGTCTTGTAATACATACACATGGAATGCTTGCAGTTTCACATTTATAATTTGAAGTATTGCTTCTATCACAGTTTTTTTGTTCCCATTTTTTTGTTTATTATGTGTAATTGTATGTTAATTGTAATTATATATGTATAATATTTATATATATAGTGTATGTCATTTATCTGAAAACTTGCATGTGTCTCAAAAACTATGGATGATACGGACAAATTTTTGAAACGTACTATGTAAAGGAAGATATGTCATACCAATATTTATTTTATCTTACACTAATTTCGAAAAGATCTATAAATGTCACATTTATATTTTTAGATGGATATTATATTTTTTTATCTTATATTCTTATAACCAACAACGATAAGTTCTTGAAATACTACTTACTCATATGTTTCGCATAAACCACTATCAAGATATTAATTCTTAAGAAGGATGGAAAGTTGTAGCCTTTTCAATGGTAAACAAGTAGAAAGAAAATTACACACACACACAATTGGCTCTTTTTAGAGCCACCATGATGTACAAAGTCCGACCGAGCAACCTCCCCGTGGTGTACATTGGATAACGCCAATGCCGGCGGCATATCAAATTTGAAATTTAATATCCCGATATTAAGTTATTTATGCGAAAAGTATAAGTAAACAGTGTTTTGAAAATTTTTCTATAGTGGCTACAACAATATGGAATAAAAAATAAAAAAGATGTTGTTACAATTTAAGACAGTTAAATTATAAACATGACCTTTATAAGGTTTCTCTAAGGTTATTACACGATAAAATAAATATCAGTATGATATGTCTCCTTTAGCTTCGTACAATATCTGTTCCAAACATTTTTCTGTATCATCTATAGTTTTTCAGATATTTAGACATTTCCAGATAAATGGAATACACTGTATATAAATAACTGATACTGTGTTTTTAATTGTTATTTTTTTTTTCTAGTTTGCAATATGCTAAAAAAACAAAGAGCATAAAATATGTTATTATTAATTTGATGATACTTTCAATTATCTAATTGTTAGAACTATAATTTAGTTATGCTGAAAAAGAATGTAGTAATATTTTTTCTTTATATTTTATTTAGCAGATACCAGTTTCTCTACCAGGCCTTAATTTAGACGGGGCACATATACCTGCCAGCGTCAGTCATTTACAAGCAGCACATGCACAAATGCAACAAATGCAGGCAGCACAACAACAACAGCTGCATCAGCAGCAACAGCAACAGCCCCAACAACAACAACAGCAGCAGCAGCAACAATCTCACCATCAGATGCAAAGTCATCAGAACGCTCAGAACAGTGGACCAACTGCACATAATCAAAACGCACAGAGAGATGATAACAAGGTGAAAGATGAAAGTGGAAGTTGCACAACTGAACGTTGCAGTGACAATCAAGTTCACTGTCAAGTTCAATGTGACCTCCAATTACAAACATCTCAAGATTTACAACAAAGTCTTATGCAACAGCAGCAACAACAGCAGCAACAAATTGGTGTAAACATAAGCGGAAATTCATCGAGTGAAGGCGGAAGTCAAAATAATACAGAAAAGCCTGAAAAAGAGAAAGAATTGCGTCAACTAAATATGACGCAGTACGTTCACACAGTTTATATATCTATTACGTTCGATAATTTTTGTACTTCGACAAACGGTATTATAACTTTTGTATAGATTCCAAGTGCCAGATTTAAAACCAGGAGGTCATATGATGGATGTAAGAACAGCTGATGGATCAGTCGTGAAGATTAGCGCTGGGAACGAACAAGATTTAGCAAAAACACTTGGTGTTGAAATGGTGCAAAATATGTACAAGGTGAGAGTTAATGTGGCACATTATAATAGATAATATATATAAAACAATAGTTTTTAACGTATAATTATAAAATTTGTATTACATTCTGCAGGTAAATGTCGAAGACATTAATCAGCTTTTAGCATATCATGAAGTATTTGGAAAACTACAAAGTGAAATAGCAGCTGGTACAACTTTAGTTGGAAGTACAGTTCCTACTCAAACAGTTACCACTATACAAAATGGAACTCCAATTGTACAACAAGTTCAATTAAATAAGTTTGATATTAAATCAAGCGATGGCGAAGCTACACCAGGACCAAGCGCTTCGCCTGTGTCGGTTGGAAGTCATGCATGTGAAATATGTGGAAAAATTTTTCAGTTTCGCTATCAGCTTATCGTTCATCGTAGATATCATACGGAAAGGAAACCTTTTACTTGTCAGGTATATAACACGTGTTTTCATATTTTATCTTATATTTAATTTTTATTAAATATATATGAATTTCTTGTTTGTAGGTGTGTGGCAAGGCCTTCTTAAATGCAAACGATTTGACACGGCATGGGAAGTGTCACCTAGGTGGATCCATGTTTACTTGTACAGTTTGTTTTCATGTATTTGCAAATGCGCCCTCTTTGGAACGTCATATGAAGCGACACGCTACCGATAAACCGTATAATTGTACCGTATGTGGAAAAAGCTTTGCAAGAAAAGAACATTTGGATAATCATACGCGTTGTCATACTGGGGAAACACCTTATAGGTAAATTCACTTATGCTATTTCACTAAAATTTCAAAAATTGATAAAGATTACTGTAGAAGATATATTAACATTTCTAATTTTTAATTAATGAGTAATTGTATTTTGTTTTTAGGATTTTAATAATATTAGTATTATTTTTATAATTATTGTCTCAAATGTATATAAAATTTTAAAATATTTATGTTTAAGTAAAATCACGATTAAAAGTAATACTATTATCTTATATTTTAGATGCCAGTACTGTTCAAAGACGTTTACTAGGAAGGAACATATGGTAAATCATGTTCGCAAACATACGGGTGAAACACCTCATCGATGTGATATTTGTAAAAAGAGCTTTACCCGCAAAGAACATTTTATGAACCATGTTATGTGGCACACGGGAGAAACTCCTCATCATTGTCAAGCTTGTGGCAAGAAATATACACGTAAAGAACATCTCGCAAATCATATGCGTTCACATACCAATGATACACCGTTTCGCTGTGAAATATGCGGTAAGTACTCTATTTTTCCAATAATTCCTGTGATGTAAAGTATTACACACATAAAGTATACGAGTACTCGTTATATAAAATCACTAAGATAACATCTAAAGTGAGCCATTTTTTCCATTTCAAGATCACTTTCTTTAACTCTCACTAATTTAAACTTAATGTATCTGTTATGCTAATAATGATAATAAATAACGAATAATAAATAGATATTTGATTATAGAAGTTTAATATTTTTTTAATTAGTCACTAAAGAGAGTAATCTATACAGATAAAATAATAATGTTTAATTATTTAGTATTATTTTTATGTGATGTATGTAATTGAAATATAATATAAATGGGACGATTCCAGAATATTTAAAAAGTTAATATATTAATGATAAAAGATCACATATGTTGTAGTTGGAATAGAAGTAATGCTTGTACTACAAAAAACATTTTATGTAACACGTTATAATTGATTGAGTTTACACAGTATTTGAGATATTTTGAAGGTAAGTTATATTTTAACTGTCATACATTGATTGACAATAAAATATTTTACATCTGACATATATTTCTTATGGTTCTTATTTAGTATTAGTTATTTTTAAAATTAATTATATATTTTTAATTAGAATTAGGAAAAATACGAAACTTACACACTACACAAATAGTTTTCAGAACTTGTATCTATCCTTCTTAATATTAGCATTAATTTAATTATTCATTTAACCATTCATTTATATATTTCTTATTCAGAAAGAATTATACAATATTTTTTATGAAAAATTATTTAACGCCTTTCATTTTAATACAATATTTTAAATTACTTTCACATATTTATATATTTAGAAAAAGATATAAAGCAACATTAGATTTCATATAATGTAGCACTTTCTTAAAAATATATTTTATTCGGCGTTTTCAAAATTGAGTAAATTAATAATATTATTTCAATTTAAAAAGTTTAGTATGAATGTTTTTTATAAATATATTAAATACAATAACAAAATATTTGAAGATTAGAAGATATGTAAATAAAATTCGTGAGAATTGATCGCGCATTGTGTTTAGCTATCTCCTGTCACAGGTTGCGCGCATTCCTTTGCAGAAATGTCTTTCTAACCTTCGAATTATCAGTGAGTTCGACCATCGTATATTATTTTTTTTTTTGTAGCATTGCTATCAGTGATGGGTCACTTACCGTCGTTTCATGCATCTACACTTTACCACATTCTTCAATGTCACGACTTATTTCGTAAATCTAAGCGGTTCATATATATATTGCGAGCACGTTTCTCTGTCAATGGGTCGCAACAATATTTATTCAAAATATTCGAGTATAATGCGTTTATCTATTTAATTTCAATTTTATTTATTTTAATTTTATTCATATTAATTTAATCCAATTGATTTATTTTAATAATTATTTTAATAATTATTTTAATAAATAGTAACTTAAACAAAATTAATTTCTATTTTTAAAGTATATACAAATCCAAATATTAAGATGTGGCTTTTAAAAATTTCAAGTTCATGCCTATTATTTACTTTATTTACACGTATATTTTGCTTTTTTAATACATTTTTATAAATTAGGCCAGAATGTTACTGTCCATAATTACGTTTTGCATTTAAATTATAATGATTTGGATATCATTTAAATTTAAATTAATCATTTTTATTTAAAAAGTAGAATAAAAATTTTGATATGTGGGAATAGTAATTTTGCAGTGCCCCACGTGTATTTAACTATTTTGTAGAATAATATTAATTATGAATAAGGGCATGAAATTTAATGCTAAATCTATATCTTACAAGGACGATATTTTTTTATTTGATTACAAAAATTCCATTTACACGACTGCTACGTAGGTATTCACAGATATTGTGGGTATTACCTCTACAGTTCGTGTTACTTCGATATTTATACCCATATTCCCATACCTGTACATATACAATATTCATACCAATATTGACACGAATATATTTTGTTACCAAAAAATTTAAATACTTCTCTTCGTATCAAAACAAGAAATTTAGTTTAGCAAATTGTATTTTGGAAGAAACTGCATTGAAATTTGTTATTGGTATTGTGCAACGCCTGGTTTATTCCGCAAATTGATAAGATTAGTACGCGTGTATTGAAATGCATAAGAAATAAGTATCTCTAATGGGAAATTTTTGAAAATATGATAGTAATACAGTTTATCATTATCTCTTTGATGATAGATGTCTCACAAATTAATTTTTACTTTGCGCTTTAAGCAATAATCTCTCATGTATGAAATATATGAAAAAATTATGCTGTTACTTTGGTTCTTTACCATGAGAAATCAAATAAAATAAATTATCCAAAACATTTTGATGGTCCAAATCAGCATCTCGTTATAGCCCAATTTAATCATCATCTTGGAATCGTCCCATAATGTGTTATACATGACATGTCAATGGCAGTTTAATTACAGATCCAATTGATACTACAGTATAATCAAAGCATTGGTCTTTTGTTTTTCTTTTTTTGGTTGTTTACCGCTGCGAATACAGGTAAGTCGTTTACAAGAAAGGAGCACTTCACGAACCACATAATGTGGCACACGGGTGAGACGCCGCATCGCTGTGATTTCTGCTCGAAGACATTCACGCGAAAGGAGCATCTCTTGAACCACGTTCGCCAGCACACGGGTGAGTCTCCACACCGATGCGGCTTCTGCTCCAAATCGTTCACCAGAAAGGAACACCTTGTTAACCACATCCGCCAACACACAGGTGAGAGCGGTTGGCAGATATCCACTTCACAAACAACCAATTGTGATATTTGTCTCTAAGAGTAGTAGTTTTATATGTGAATAGAGAAATCATATTTAGTTAAGAAATATGAATCTAGGTACTTACTATATCACTGAGTCACCACATTCATGTAACGTATTATGTAACACGCATTACATACACCAAGAAATCGTTCACATCTTTGTCAAAATCTCAATCGATCCATTGTTTCATCATTCACATAAAAGATGATCATTTAAGTGCATATTGTTTCCAAACACGCGTACACGCACATCATTCGGTTTTGCTTCTACCCAATGTTTAACTATGATTTGCATACTTGCATGTGGAAAAAGATAAATGTATAGGTGTACATATCTTCACTTCTTTTTTAATTTTGTTTTTATTTCTTTTTCTTTTTGTTGCCTTTTGTTCAGCCTTTTTTTTACTCTTTCTTTGATTAATAGTATACTGTTTATGGTGATATACCGATAGATAATGCGTTCGCCATTCGTGCATAACAGTTTACATTATGTCCAACTAGCAATTAGTTTAACTGATCACAATTACCCCATTTCATCATCAGATCCTATAGAGACATTTACTGTTCTGCCTAATACACCGCTCTCATATATGCTTCTTATTAACTATTTCAGAGCCTTCTCGCTAAATGAAACGTTCTCATAATGCCTCTGCATTGTAGAAACGTTTTCTTATTCGACTTATTATCGCTCCCTTTTTTTGTTCGAGATATGTACATAATTCCATTCTCATTTTCATTTCATTTCATTTCATAGCAAAATTTGTTAATGAGATTTCGTTTAATGTAGAGAAGATTCATAGTTACAGAATAGTGATTTTTACTTTTCTTTCCTTTTCTTTCTGTTGTTTCTTTTGATGGTAATGATATATATATATAGAGAGAGAAGTTTAATGTAGAGAAGATTCATAGTTACAGAATAGTGATTTTTACTTTTCTTTCCTTTTCTTTCTGTTGTTTCTTTTGATGGTAATGATATATATATATAGAGAGAGAAGTTTAATGTAGAGAAGATTCATAGTTACAGAATAGTGATTTTTACTTTTCTTTCCTTTTCTTTCTGTTGTTTCTTTTGATGGTAATGATATATATATATAGAGAGAGAAGTTTAATGTAGTTTCATTGAATATTTATCATTGTTCGAATCTGATTTTTCATCGATGTAACGTAAGGAAATGGCAAAATCAAAAATTGATTTCATAGATGTAAGAATGACTAGCATTGATAATATAGATATTATCAAAACGTAATGCGCAAACTGAGTGAAGCTCTCACAATCATTTAAATCTCGGTATGAAAATAGTACATCCAGTAAATCAGTAATTTATATACAGTGTCCGTCCTAAATTTCTTCCTCTGAATGATATCAACATATTCTACGAATTAAATATAAGAAAAAAAATACGATATTAAAATACAGATAAATATTTTATTAAGAAGTTATAAAAAGATACAGAATAACAACAAAATAAACGCGAAAGATTTAAGACTTGATCATCGTGGTATGTAAAATAGCAATATGTACTTTTAAAGTGTATCCCCGTACGTTGCATCAAAGAAAATCTGTCAAAACTATAGTCAAATCGTGTAATGACGATTTAATGATGATTGATTGGGGAAATAAAAGTCGCGATATCGTTGGTTAATGTTGCGCAGGAGAGACGCCCTTCCGCTGTCAGTACTGTCCAAAAGCATTTACGCGGAAGGATCATCTGGTGAACCATGTCAGGCAACACACGGGTGAGTCACCGCACAAGTGCCAGTATTGCACCAAATCCTTCACGAGGAAGGAACATTTGACAAATCACGTGCGTCAACACACAGGCGAATCGCCACACCGATGCCACTTCTGCTCCAAGTCATTTACTCGTAAGGAGCATTTGACGAATCATGTGCGAATCCACACTGGTGAATCACCTCATAGGTGTGAATTCTGTCAGAGAACGTTCACCAGGAAAGAACATCTAAATAATCATCTCCGTCAGCATACCGGAGATTCATCGCACTGCTGCAACGTGTGCTCGAAACCATTTACAAGAAAGGTAGATTCAAGTTATGAATATATTTATTTCAGATGAAAGACATATAATAGAATGATAGAATGGATTTTTTGTATGATTGTTAAGCTGCTCCTCATTGAAGCAACAATGATAAACTTTTATTGTCTATTTTATCTACGTCGAAACATATAATCATAAAAAAATTTGGATTTTGTTTCGGTTTCGAATTGACACCTGTTCTTAACAGATGCGTTGTAAAACAGTTGACAAACTGTACACACTGAAAGGGTATTTGTCATGATGTCTCTTACTTTTGTTTGATCTTTGCTGCTTTGGACGAAAATAGCTAATGAATAGCTCTTTTTGTTACTATAATTCGTCAGAAACATGAAGAAACGGTTGAGCAATAATCAACAACTTCTTCAAAAGGCATCGACTAAAAATGCCTTCGTTGTTGTTAGTAAGGACACAGCTTAACAATTGATTTTTTGATTGAGTTTTTTAATTACCAATAATATAAAAAAATTCTAATAAAAATATCCTCAATTTTCTGTTACAGGAACATCTCGTAAATCATATGCGATGTCATACTGGTGAACGTCCATTTGTATGCACAGAATGTGGCAAAAGCTTCCCTTTAAAGGGGAATCTACTTTTCCACATGCGTTCGCACAATAAAGGCAGCAACGCCGAGAGACCGTATCGTTGTGATCTTTGTCCAAAAGACTTTATGTGCAAAGGACATTTAGTGTCTCATAGACGATCACATTCGGACGAGCGACCACATAGCTGTCCAGATTGCGGGAAAACTTTCGTTGAAAAGGGCAATATGCTGAGACACTTGAGAAAACACGCAGCGGAAGGTCCGCCAACACAAGTTAGCACGCCCTCTGCAATTCCTCAATCCGGTGTTCTGCCCATTCCGGCAGCAGCAGTTCTGGTCGGCCATCCTTTGGCACCCCCTGCACCACCCGTAGTCCCACAACATACCGTAGTTGTGCCTACTCCTCCGGGTGTACTGACCTCCTACTAAACCAAATGAAGAGAGCAAACATGTGAAGGAAAAATAGAAAAGCATTTTTCATAAGGAGAAGAAAAAGTGAGTGTATACACGATGAATGTTGTGTTTGTTGACCAATGAAAGTGCACCGTTAAGTTGTTTTCCTTCTTTTTTCTTGTTCGTCTGCTCTTTTCTCGGAAGAGGAAGAAGAAAAAGACTGTTGAAACTTGCAGTTTCTACAGGCACAGAAGTGGGTTAATCGATAAAGTGTTGTTATGGAAAGATCGTTGTGAATTGTCGTGATTGCAGCGCCCTATTGTTCACGTTTCGAACCTGTCCTCGTCGTAATGCTCTCTGTAGCTACGTATAGAAAAAACGAGAAGGGTTTATAATATGAACTTCGTCAGTTTTGAACAATTAATCGTGCTGCTATGATCGATAGCAGTGTATTATCCAAAGTTTGAATTACTTTGTTTCTGTCTATTTTCTTCTACTTTTCTTTTTCTTCTCTTCTTTTTATATGATAACTTTTAATAGATCGTTTATCAAGGGGAAAAATATTTGATATGCGTTATGGAGTTAAAAATATAAAATCGATAATAATCGCGAACCCTGCGATTCGATGATGGGCACACATAACTTCGCTATTAATTCGATTACGATTAGAAAGTAATTGCGGTAACGATATGACGCTGTATTAGTTTTATGCAATAATTTCGTACAAAAAAAAAAGAGTAACGAAATTAATGTATTTGCTAATTAAAAAGAACAAAATTTAGCGTGATATAATGTAATGTATGTACGACATACCTCTGAAATAATGATGTAATCATAATTTAAAAAATTTATCAAGTAGTTTGCTTGAAGTACAAAATGTATTTGTAATTTGAATTATATTCGGTTTTTATCATTTTTGTCACAATTTTATCAAATTGCTCTGTTTGAGCTGAAATAAGAAAAAAGAAATAGTTATTCAAAATGATCATAAAATGTAGTAGCAATTATATTTGCGTCCGTCACGTTGATCAGCGCCACAAAATTTTTTACGTTAATTATCGCTATTACTCACACAATAAATGAATTAAGAACGATCGATTTGTTTCACAAAATTATACTTTCTTTTTTTCTATTTCTTTCTTTAGAAAAAAACATAAGTTCGCTTTCTATATATAATTGGCTTAGAGATAAAAAAAAGAATTCTATATAAAATCTAATATCGTAAGAATAAGTATACATTTTATTACTTGCGTAAAAAAATTCTGCATAAACGTGACTGAGAAAGATACTATACATTATAATAATGGATCATTTTCGACTTACTTAGATAATTACGTTTATTTTAATTGGCGTGTAGTTTACTTTAACGAGTTTACTTTACTTGCGAGGAATTATATTTCAAAGAAATATTTAAAAACACGATTTATGTTCTTTAATACGGACCCGAATGTCGAATTAAAAGCGTCGCGTTAGTTGTCCGTTTTAGTTGTAGTCATTGTTTTCTTCTCCTTTTAACTTCTCTTTTTGTTTAATCGTAATTATTATAATGGAGTGCAATATAGTTTTGCCGATTTCTCTTAAGCGTTTATCCGCATCGAAATGAATCGTTACTACACCAGATTTTAAATAATGAAAAAGCTAAGGAAACAAAAAAGATAAAAAGTGAACAGATGATAGCAATTCAACACTTTTTTTTATTTGTAGTATATAGGGACGATACTGAATTATTTTGATTCTTAAAATTAATTTTAAACGATTAACGCTATTTACGTTTCATCTAGTTTGAAAAGGAAAAATATTATTAACTCTAGCGATCTTGTAAGGCCATGTATTTCGTATTTACGATTAAGGGTAAAAGATAAAAGTATCGTAAGCTTGGTTCTGCGGCAACATTGTTTAGTGTTATAAGTTACCTAGATATATATCACATATTTAAAAGAGTATTCAAAATAACAATATGTATGATCAGTTTGTAAAGCGTAAAACGCAGAAAAACAATTCACAATTGCATGTTAACGATTGCTGCAGTATCAGGTTTACCTTAATTATGTATAATATTATAATAATAACAACTATTGAATATAGACACGAGAAAGATGATAAATTTATTAACGCGCGTGCATGCGTCACGTGGAGTGTACGACAATGTTCATCACTCCGTAGAAGTCTAGATTAATATATTACGATAAATATATCTAAGTATATCCAAACAGTTAGATATCTCGTACTATTTAAAGAAAAAAGAAAGAAAAAAAATAATAAGGGGAAAATTAATAAATGCCGCAGGTTCACTTTATGAGTGACACACGAAATGTATGTTACATATGGAGCGTAAAATTCCCACATTATATTCGCGTAGAAGAAGAAAAAGAGATATATAGAGAAATGGAAATAAGAAGGAAACACGCAAAGGTACATCTAGAAAGGAAAGACAAATATATATGTATAATATATATTGCTGATGCTTATATACATTATGTATATATATATTGTACACGACACGAAAATAGAAAAAGGAAGAAAACTATGATGCCGTACCGGAGTCACTTGATACAAATAATATTTCCGACGATATTACGCAATATATTCGTGGCATCGCTCCTTGTAATTTGCTAAAAAATCTAACAAGGAATAAATAGAAATAATGTTTATATGAATTATTATTATTATCTTATTATTATTATATTATTATTATTATTATTATTATTATTATTGATAATATTATACGTTACAAGAATAAAATTACGAGTTGATTCATGCTTTTAAGAGATTTAGTTTCATGCTTGTTTTAAAAAATAGCAAGCAAGTATCAGATCCAACCAATTCCCTTTAAATCGAAGCGACTTTACAAAGATATCAAGTAGAAAACAGTAAAATGCTAGATGCTACTTTACTTCCTCAATAAGAGTCGTAACCAGTCAGTTTTGTGTATAATTTTTAATAAAATTTCTATCTACATGATCTTATCTTTTTGGCAATAACAGTCGTTTAAATGAGAACGCTTCGGTTCGAAGTGAAATACGATGGTGAAGGAAAGAATTCAAAATATGGTTTACTTTAGATAGAAGGAAATATGTATAGAACTTTATTATGCACCATTGTAATATTATGTATCCCAGTTGTGACACAATATACACTGGTGTTATGTTAAATGTGAACACTATGTGTCCTGTTTTACATGTAATGATTTCCCATGCTTTAATTCTATTTTGAATAAAATTTTCAGCATAAATTGAAGATTTAGTGATAATAGAATCGGTCTGCAATAAATTTACATTCATTTTAAAAAATTTAGTATTCCTTTTAATATCTATAGAATATATAACAAAATAATAATTAGTAACAATATACAATAAAATTATCAGACCGAGAACTAACTAAACAAATATCAATATGATGTATTCACTAAATCAAATATGTAAGATTGCATGAATACAGAGTCCCCCAATGCAGTGTAAGTTGGTGAGTAGTTATAAATTAACGTCTGAGCTTCTTCCTCACTGCTTTGAAATATATGATGATTCTTACGCGCTGCACACAAAATAATTTTGGTTGGTATTGATTTCAGATATAAGATATAAAAATCTTCAAAAAAGACAGATGTACCTTCGTTAACGAAAAAATTAGCAAAATATTGTGCAATTTCAATAGCATTTTTTCCATGTGGAATTTTTTCCCCGATTTTCCATTCGTATAAATTTTTCTCTGGATGAAATTGCAAGCCGTAAAAAGGATAAGTGATGTGTTCCAACGAAGAAATGAATTCAAGATTATTTAAATCATGATTCAAAGACAATATTTGAAATTTATCGCTTACACCAGCACGTTGTAAACCCTACAAATCTGTTAATAAGTATCATGGTCTTCAGACATATATTATTGTAAAATAAATGAATATATCTTACCGATTTCGTAACACAATTTAGATGCTGGTTTGATGTCACTTTCTTAGTTCTCAATATGTCTTCAACATTATCTGAAATATCAGAAAACATCCTACCGCTTTTGTAATCTAAAATATACAAAGAAAATTAGATTTTTGTTTTAGGAAACTGGTTAAAAAGGTGACATTTGAATGATGAACCTGGTGTAAATTCCAACTGAAGTGGTAGAGTCTGTGCTCTGCAGCGTGTCCTATGAGGAAAACGTTCAGCAACAACATATGTTAACAACTCAAATCCTAAACATATTCCAAGTATTGGAAAATAATCTCCATTGTCATTCATTCTTTTTGCAATTCTGTAAACGAATTCAAAACAATTAAGAAAATTTTTCATACCATGATTAAGCAAAAGATACTCCTATACCGCTTCGAGTGATAAAACTATTTTTATATAATTCTATTACTTGTAAATCTTATATCCTGCATCTGCATACCCCCCATTGCTGTTAGCGAAAGACGCAGATCCTCCAGGCCATAGAACTCTATAGGAAATGATATAATACATATATTATAATTTATATATTTTTCTATTTTTTCAGTCTTTCATCTTACCCATTTATTTTAGATAAAATATCTTCATAATAACATTCATCCCTTCCAATCCTAAAAAAGAGCATCTTTTTGGTATAATTACATGTATATTACAGTGATAATTCAATCTATTATTTATTATAACGTTACAAACTTACCAAATTGGAACAACTCTGGCACCGGCTCCTTCAATAAATTTTACGTATGATGCAGCAATATAACTTTTGGAATGATCTGGAGACTTCTCTTGTGCTAAAATACCTTTTAAACATAAGATTGAATAAAATATAAGAGAAACAATTTAGTTAACCAACGTGCTGAATAATATATTTTCATATAATCGCAACAAACTAATATTGTTTGAATAAAAAATAAAATTCGCGCTTTGTTTATGTTACTAGACGAATCAGACTAATTTTAAAAACAGAATATTTGCAATTTTTCTTACTAACTCGCGCAAAAGAAAAAATTAGCAAAACGTGTAACGTGAATTTTTCCTATAAATGCCTCATATAACATTCTAACTTTTTATATTCGCTTGTAGATTATATTACAACAGTTTGATTGAAAAATTGAAGTCGCTTTGATTACCATCGAGTATTATCTTTATATATTACACGATCTATGGACCATGTATTACTTGGATATTAATTATTAATTATATATCTCAATCTACGATACAGTTTTTTATGTAATTAAATTTCTATATGCAAACATATTTTTTATATGATTTCTAAAGCATTAAAAAAGAAGGAGAGTTAGCATTATTGATACTTTGACATATACGTGTATATGTATATACATATATGCATAGATCAATACTTACCAATTATAGGACGGTTATTTGGCGTAGAATTTTCACTGTAAAAATTAAACTGCCCTAGAACTGTCGTAGATTGTAAAGTAGTAAGTACAAACGTAATAAACGCTAACAACAATATCAACATTATAAAGTGCAGATATTTCTGAATTTCTGAAAACGCAGAAATGCTCAGTTGATTACTGCGTTTCCTGTTGTAGCTCCACGCTATATAAATAACTCATATACGTACTCCCCCTCATATACGTAATCATAGAATATCTGTGTATATGATAAACATAGTATACATTATAAATTATATAAGATAAGGAATTGTTATTAAATCGTAAAAGTTTACACAATTTACATAATGATATGCCTTTAGTATATAAAATATATGCAGGAAGTTTTTTAGGGTTATCGCTCATTGCGATAAAACACGGGAAAAGCCAATACTCATCAATATCTTTTTCTTCTACATCTCAGTTTGTTAATCAGTTAGTCGACATTTAACCTTGTAATCTCTAAAACTTAGACAGAAAGCATCTCAGAGCGTTTTGTGTAAAGTTGTCATAAAAGCAAAAGTAAATCATATCAAATTTGACAATAATTTTGTACTCCGTACATGGTGTTATTCTGTGATAAATATTTACCCTAAAAATGTCACGACTTTAAAAAAAAATAGAACATAGAAGATTGTTCAGTATACGATGAACAAGAAACTTCAGCAACTGAAAACGGCATAGAAGCACATGAAAAGCTATTTACAACCGAATCAGAGTTGAATTTTATTTATAAATAACTGTTCACGTCCAGGGTAAAAAGGAAAGAAATTATCGTTGATAGCAAAGAGTGAGACAGATGTAGAGAACCAATGTATGGAAACTGAGCCCGATGAGACAGTTTGGAAAGAAATAGATGCAAGTCCCAAACCTGGCAGGACATTTGGCATATAATATATAATATATAATAAACGGCATATAATGAAAGAACAAGTAAAAACGGAATTTAACAAATACGGCAAATAGATGCATTTCTTGCTCTGCTATATGGCCGAGGTGCATATCAGACAAAGAATTTAGATGTTTCATATTTGTGGAATAAAACTCGGAGACCTGCATTTTTTTCAAAAACAATGAGCAGGAATGACTTTGCTGAAATTATGAGGTTAATTTGATTAGAAGAGCGAAAGAAGCCAACATTTACGAACCATTAAATTTGCAATTGTATCTACAGCGTGGGTTAGGTTCTTATAGAGAATTCACAAAATTGTTATAAACCTGATGCATACATTACTTTTATATAAAAAATCGCGGGAAAAAACCATGCAATAAAACTATCAACAAGTTTAGATTAATTACTACAAAAAACTTGTCAAGTAAAAAATTGTAAAGGTTACAAAATTATGAAAATTTATTTAAGATGCGGGAAATATGTATTGGAAATATGATAATAAGATAATTTGTAAAACAGTTGAATAAGATATATCTCTATATAAATAAAAGTGTAATTTTATTTAAGTCTATAATTGAAATTAAACAAAAGTAAATTTCGACGAAATTATATGAAAGTTTATCATTTTATATACATTTAGTTATAAATTAATCATTATCTAAATTAAATCATAAAAACTATTACTTCTTTAATCACCGGTCATTTTAACCGCACACGGTAAGAATAGGTATACACGAAGTGTCAGTAGGTTTAGTGTTAATCCCATGATATACTTTGAATTGATATTTATATAAATATATAAATATTTCAAATGCAAAATAATTATTCTTCGAAAATTATTTCCCAAAATATTAAATCACAAACGTTTTTGAAAAATAAAATCGTTATTAAATAATACGTTATTTCAAATATTTAATATTTCAGATAGTGTTAATTCGTTCATGTTTCATATTCATAATTCAAACTCCTAAAACTGTATTCATATCTCTCCAGGTTTGCCCTGAAGCAGATGCGCTGGAGTATCGATTTCCGTGTTTTCATAGCCAGTCATTGCTTTCTATCATTTTACATATGTATAGCAAATTCATCAGTCGGTAAATCATTAACCGGAGAAAATTAATTATAAATTTTTAGGATCATGTTAAATTTCTATCTTTGGTCACCATAAATTATCGAAGATCATGCGAATTACAATGTTTGTATAAACTATTGTATAAACCATTAAAATTAAACAGCTCTATATATCGAACATTTTTTAAAAACTAATTGAGTGAGAATAATGAATTATTCACATTGATATATCTTTAGAAAATCTGTATGTCCAATCTAAGTCGAGAAGTTTCATAAGGAAATGTTAGTAAATTGTACTACGAGAAATACTGGCCCTATACCAGCGTATGGTACAACGAGGTATAGTGGAGTAATTAATTTGGAGGAAAATGGCAATAAATACTTTATCAATTCTCCACGCAACGCGCATATTGGACTTTTACCGCCATGCACGAAGACAGATAAGTGGTCAAAGAAATCGGTAAATAATAATCATTCATTTTAAGTTCTTTTCGAAATGCTCTTTAATAAAAAGGCATAGCCGAATAAACATGGTAAAAGTGTATTTAAATCAAATTAAAATTGTCAAACGTCAATCGAAAGAGCTTCGTAGGAAATCCATTTCGACCAGATTTTAGCACTCTACCTCTATTATTAGGGTAGTTATTGATCATGATTACAGGATTAAACATGATTTACAAGCTATGCTTGATTTCTTTTGTTCTATCCTATAAGAAATTATGGTAAAAATTTAAGATACTATAGCTATATTGTTATGTATCTGGGAATTTTTTAAGACCTTTTGACCTAAAATCCTATTTTCTAAAAATTAGGAAAGTTTTAAAAGGCCAACTTTTTATTGAAGTTATTAAATGACAATATCTGTACTTTTACAATGAAAATGGCCTACCATATTTATTAACTCATAACTTTCTTAGATTTGTCGGAATGGTGCGTCATAAATAACAAAATTAAAAACCACTTTTTTAGAAACAACAGATTTTTTTACGTTTCCGTAAATTTAAAAATGTTTTATCTTCTACTACCATAATCCGTGTCATCATTGATCACAAGCTTTCATATGATATATACAATATATCAATTATATAAATAGATCACTCTACACACAACTTTGTCGAAATGGTTTTCTTTCGATCGACGTATCACAAGTTTAATTTGATTTAGATGCACCTTTATCATGTTTATTCGGCAATGCCTTTTCTTTCTCACTGAACCCCTCCATTAATTATTAAATAAACAGAATTTCAAAATAAAAATGATATATTATCGTAATACTCGTAAGATTACTGTACACAAAGATGATGGATGCCAAAAATTTTTAAACAAAAAAATATGTAAAAAAAGCAACAAAAACATAATATATCTAGCTATAAATTTACTTATGTTTAGAGAAACAATAAAACTATAAGAAAGGAAGACGGCGTGTGCAGAAATTCCACAGAATCTACTACTCTATCAATTTGTGGAACCATCAGGAAAGAAAGCAGTCATTGTACATGTAAGGACGAAGCGTCATGTATCTGCTTAGAAAACGAAAGAAAATTAAAATCACTGAGCGAAGACTGTTCAGATTGTTGCACGAATTGGAAAGAAATTCAAAAATTGACAGATACTTCTGAAACGAAATTAACAGATTCATTCGAGAAACTGCTTAATTGTGTAGAAAATAGTGGAGACACAAGCATGTATCTAGATCTATTTGAACCTCATCCTAGAGAAGAGCAACGAATAAAAGGAAAAGATTCGGTACCGCTTGGATACGATATGACTTTAATTCTTCCGCAATGTGTTTGCTTAAAAAGTAAATTGTTAATACTACATAGAACTTTAAGAATCTTATTCTACATTGAACTCCATCATTAGCAGTCATTTTGAAAGCATACGATTTTTATTCGTGTCTTTTTATAAATATTTCTGTTATATATATATATATAAAAGTGAAGTTTTTTTTATTCATATTCTGCTACACTTTATTCAAATTAGAATTCATACATGAAATTACAAGTTCCAACAAGGTACACATACAATTACGAAACGTATCATTTTTAAATTACAAAATACCTTATATAGGTTAAATATAGTAATATATTTGTTAATATATACATTGTTTAATGTTATAATTTTTAATATTACATATGCATAGCGATATATTTTTTACTATTTCTTAATATTTCGAGCATGGTATATATGACAGATTATCAAGAAACCAAACAAATCGAAAATGAAAGTGAAGATACTATTCGTGATGAAAAATCTGAAACTATAAATGACTTAATATGTGCGCCTAGTATTATAGACCTTTCGTGGAATATAATGCAATCTGGAATGATTGAGAAAATACCAGAGAAATACACAACCAATATTTTTGAGTAAGATATTACATATTTTATCATAAAATAAAATGTTTGCATATATATATATGTATATGTATTGTTCTCTATCATGCCTATAATGTCTGACATTTCCTATGCGCACACAAGTGGGCATGTGAATGCAATTTATGTATTCTAAATTGCAGGAATGAAAAGAAAGAGCCAATAGGTACAGAAGTATGTTCTAATGTCCAAACAAACGTATGTACAGAAGGAAATTCTCAAACAACATACTGTTTGCATAAAGCATTTTTGGAAAAGATAAATAAATCATATTTTTCGATGTAATTGATATGAACAGTTTATGTATAACATAAAATATTAATAATGTTATTTATAAAATAATATTTTGCATTGAGATAATTATTTGGTAAGGTAAAGAACTATGTATATAATACGCACATGTATATGTTAGTATGCATATTATACATAGGATACGCTATATAGTAACGCTTTTACAAAACGGAACAAATGATTTATTTATTATAATATATTATTAATATATATATTATTCATCAAATACGTATCCATGAAAACCATTCAATTTTTATGTTTTGATAATATCTCGATACATATCCTCTGAAATCACTGTTGAAATTACTCTTGAGATCAATTTAAATGTGACACTCTGTATAAATGAAGCCAACAGCGATTGGGCTGCCGCAGTTTAAAGCGATTATTTGAGTTCTATCCTCAGTGAAGCGGTTTTTAAGCAAAAATAATCGCGGAGAGGAGCAATTAATTTCTAACAAACTATTCTTTTTAAGATATATTTCAAAACATAATTTAATCAGCAAAAATGGTAAGTTGTTATTTATAATTCATACTTACAATTATTTGTTTTCTTTTATGCACGTGCAACCTTATAGGTTAAGTTTCACACGTGATTATTTACCAACTTTCAGTTAATATAAATGAAAATAATTATAATTATTTATATTTGTTTATATATTGATATTAAGTCAAAATACATATTTTTTCAAAAGAATATTGCTCTTTCCTAATTATTTAAATATCTTTTATAGGGAGATGAAGTCAACCCTAAAGCGTATCCTTTAGCAGACGCTACTTTGACTTCTAAAATTTTGAATTTAGTGCAACAAGCCATGAATTATAAACAATTAAGGAAAGGGGCCAATGAAGCAACAAAAACATTAAATCGTGGCTTATCAGAATTTATCGTAATGGCTGCAGATGCAGAACCTCTAGAAATTTTGCTGCATTTGCCATTATTGTGTGAAGACAAAAATGTACCATATGTATTTGTTAGAAGCAAACAAGCTCTAGGTCGTGCTTGTGGTGTATCTAGGCCTGTTGTTGCTTGCTCTGTGACGGTTAATGAAGGATCACAATTAAAACCACAGATTCAGGCTATACAACAAGAGATTGAACGTCTCTTAGTTTAAATACTTTGTACCTGATTCAGAATCATTCTTTTTAAATTTAAATGTAATCAAACTATTATTTCTATTTTTTACACAGAATTTTGAATAATTTCAAACGATCGAGCCTTATATATCTTTCATGCAGTGAAATTTATGTATAAATTATCTTTATGACTGAAAAATGTTAACTAAAAAGTATTGATATTCTGTCTGTATCACAATCCAAAATAAATGTTTTTTATCACATATAAAATTCATGATCTTGTATGACTTTGATAGTTACTTTCATATTGTGTAAAAGAATAAACAACATTTCACTTAAAAAATAAAAAATCATTTCTTTTTTTTAAGTATTGTAAGCATAAAATATTGAAGTATTGTATTTTTCTTTCATTATTTTGGTATATTTGCCATTTATGAGAAAAGCGCTTTCAATAATAAAGTGACCACATTGTATACTTACCTACATTCACGATTTAATAACACTTAAAACCAAATTTATTTATTAAAATTATATTTTGTTCTTGCCAAAATGATTAGACCAATAGGATTTATCTTTTAAATTAACTACTTTAGACAATTAAAAAAAGATGATGACAAATGTTTTCAATTAAGTAAGTAATGAGAAAAATGTAAAGGTTAGAAAAAATAAAACATATAAATTAACGAAATATATATTATAAAAGCTATAATAAAAAAAATATATGCATTAACGAAGTTACAATCATAAATTATTGATTAAAATAAGGTAAGGCAATAGAAGACCAGTTACCATGCCACCGATTCTTTTGAAATTTACGTAACTCCTCTCGAAATTTTATATCTAGTTGGTGTTGAATATCGTTATTAGGAAAATCTACAAACCATGATTTCAATTGTTCTGCTAGTTCTTTGTCATTCGAAAAAATCATTCCATTTTCCTTGTGTTTAACAAGTTCTGATAAACTAAAAAACAAATATACTATACAAAAAATCTAAATATAAAATTTAAACATTTATAGATTCAACACTTTTCAAAGCATAATACATAAACTTTAATAAATACAATAAATAAAAAGATCTAATTATAATATAATGTTCTGCTTACCATTTAAAGTTATATGCACAAACTGGAAGCTCACAACCAAACATATCAATAATTTTCATAGGTAAGTCCAATCCACTAGATGATATGTGGAGACAAATGCCTAAATCCGCACTAGCTATAAACGTAAATTATGCTTCTTATATACAAAAATATATTAGAATAAATACAAAATTTTATGTTAAAGTTTAGTACCTAACATTTTAGGATACTCTTCATTTTCAAGCCATGGTGTTATGATTGTGACATGTTTCCAATTCTTTAGTTTTATAATAGCCATATAAAATTCTTTCAAAGGACCTTTACCAGTTATCATACAAATTAAATCTGGTAGTTTACAAATATCTTGTTCAAATGCATTTTCATATTCTGCGAAATACAAAATTTTAAATATAACAATAAATAATTTAATATTAAATGGTAATAATTGATGTCATCAATTATTGACCATAATAATATAACACACACCCTGTAATGCATTTAACAATACTGAAAAATCTTCATCTTCTGTCCAACTTGTACTTGATATAATAAACCCAGGCCTTTTAGAGTATAATTGTGCTTCATTTTCTATATATTTCGTAAATACAGTTGAGCTCTCTTCAGAACCTTTTAATACATTATATTTTTCACTTAATTTTAATAAAAATATATGTTTTTCTGTTAATGATATAGGCTGAAATTCATTTGATGGTCGATCATATAATACCTCAGCTCTAAAGAAAAAAAAGATACTGAATTATAAATTCCAAAATAGGAATTATTTTATATATGAAAACACTAACTTGATGCCCCATTTCAATTGTAAATCTTCCTTCATTGCTTGAGACACACAAAAATTATAATGTGCCTTAGAACCAAAATATGTTTCAATTGCTTTTGCAAATTTTACAAGTAAGTGGTCATCTTTTAGTGTCAATGCCATAAGAGTATGTGCATAATTATGCCAATCAATAATAAATTTTGAATCAACAACTATGGAATAAAACCAACAAACTAGAATCGTTGGTATTGCAGGTGGATTTTGTATTAATATATAATTTGATATATGTTTAGTGAATAATATCCATATAAGGTTAGATGTTTGCCATATCGTTTTTATTACATAATAAGGTAAACGAGACAATCCTGAAATATTAGAAAAAACTCTTTTATTCTACAAATATATATTTATATACAGTTATTACTTCAAACAAATTGTATTATACAATCATAAAATAAAACAAAGACAAAAGAAGTAATAAAAGTGCTTATTTTAAATAAAATTAATCAACATAAATTATAAAAGTATTTACTCATAATACAAGTACATACGTACTATCTTCTATATCTGGGGGAGGATGAAGGTAATAAATATGTATAGAAGAATTTTCTCTTATTTGTTTTAAAGGTAATGAACCGGGATAACCTATAAAATCCACTATGTAACCTTCTTTCGCAAATGACATCGCATGGTATTGCATTCTAGGACTTCTACCCAAATCTCCAAGAACAACAATACAAACATTTTTATGTCCTTTATATAGATTTAAACATAATTCTCTAATTAAAAACAAAATTGGAAAGATCGTAAATAATAAATAAACACTCCACATTTTAAAGTTAAACCTTGGTTTAAGAGTATGATCACCTTACACTTCGTTCACGGAAATGAGTTAGTAAAAGTAGAAAGAAAATTGACTATAGGAAATATGTAAGGACATGAAGATGTAACGACTAATTTGTGTAACCACGTAACTAACCACGCTTTTTATCCATCTTACTTTCATTACTGACTAAATTTATTAATTTTATGAATTTTGATTGTCTTAAAATTTGATGGATTATATCAAAATGAACATTTCATATTATACTGAAAACAGATGACAATTCTCATTTCGTATCCAGCGAAAGAATGACGAAAAAGCAGGAGAAAGATTAAATGAAAATGAAAGATGAAATGAAAATACAAAATCTTTTAACGAAATTTAAAAAAATAGCCAATTAGAACTCCCTACCAAAAAAATTACTTTAAAAGATATAGAAAATTATGTCAATATTAGTATCGAAAATTTTATTTCGGAAGAAAATCGCAAATTTTTATGAAAATTTAATATATTTATGAATTTTTTACACGAAGATGCGATAATCTGGAAGAACGATAACACATACAAAGAAGAGTTAGAAATAGTAAAAAATGTCAGAATATAATAATTTATTAACAAACAATGAAGAAAATAGCCAATACATTTACAAATATCAGATATACCTAATATGTATGGTATCTCTATAGCGATAGACCATCTTACAAAGGAAAAGCATCCAAAACCTTTAAGCGAGACACTTGTACCTATTCAAGTGTAAACTTCTGCCTTCGAGGAAATACCAATTGCTTTTTGCCCTTCCTCATAACTCTTGAGACTTACATCCTTCTTTCTTAATGTCTTCTTCGAGTGCGGCATTATTCACCAAAACATCTTTTTTCTATTCGTAGTCTATTTTTTGTAGGATTTGTTTTGTATATTTCGGCTAAAAAATGATCGTCAAATTTTATACTTTCGCCTTTCCTGGCCTAAGTAGTAAATATCGGGTCGTAAATCTTATTATCGCGCGGTGGAACTGACTATATAGATTATAGACGTATATAGATTGACTACGAACACATGCGTCAATGTAGGTTAGGTTTTTATCCACAAACTGTCTCTGGATTTGAATTTTGCTCTAAAATACACTAAAAACTGTTATATTTTAGATGTGATGTCACACATGTGGTGTGACATATGATATGTTATAATCTCTATTCATCGAGTACTATCAGAAGATGGAAAACAAATTATGAGATTGACGCCCGAAAACCGAAGTTCAATTAAAAAATTAAAGCATCAAACAAAATAAAATGAAACTGTCATACACATGTTTAGCACTCCAATTGTTCGACTAAAGTGTGTAGACTAAAGTTTGAGTTTTCAGGATTCAGTAATGTTTGGTAATTTGAGAAGCATCATAGGAGCATAATAGCTGGTAGCTGCGCGACTCCGACTCACTTGATTTCTTAGAAACTGACGAATTTATAATATTTTACAACAGTAAATGATCTTATATGCAACGTCATTGAATTTGTCTCAATAAATGCCATTGTACGTACTAAGGAAAAAAAAAGTGGTACTAATGAAAAAATATCCATGCCAGTACAATTGCTAAGGGTTAACGTTAAATCTAAGTGGTGTATATATCAAAATTATTGCATCATTCAATCAACTCAAAGAGAATATTCTCTTTTTTTCTCTAAAAGAAATATAGTAAACAATTAATTTTTCTTTTTTAGGTAACTTACAATTAGTTTAATTATTTTCTGATTTTGTTATTTTCATACTTGTAGACATGAATTTTTCCATAGAACCGTACAATTAAGTAGGTTCTTGTAGCGCGGAACTCGATAGGTTCTTGTCTATGCTAGCGTATAACCAAACGTGGCAGATCCCTAATTCTATAGGATCTTGTATATGCTAGCATATGTCACATTCAGCACTTAGCCACATGATGCAGCACTAGTCCGGAAGTCACCAGAACCATAAACGTGGGCACTCTCATTTCTTCTTTGGTAAAAGTAAACAAAATGTCATTACTGCTGGCTAGTAACACCCGAATTTCTCTAGTAGGCAACCAATAGCTGCAGCAACAGTATTCACATTTTGTTTATGTTTATTCTTTCATCTCGTTGGATAGATAATAGGAATTAAATTCTTAGGTTCATGGATAATACAATAATCTGAAAGCAAACAAATTTTATACAAAATTAGAGATTTATGTTTTATAATAAAATTCAAAAGGTGGACCTATATTATAAATAACTTTCATATATGCTTATATACTTACCAGTGAACAATAATTATATAATTTTTTTTTACTTAAATGCTTGTAAAATCGTAATATAAAAATGTTACGTTTTTTAATAATTTAATATAAATATTTTCTAAGAATGAAATAAATAATTTCTAAAATTTTACATTATTTTATAGCTCTTTTTTGTATCTCATAAAATTACTTTTATGACTAAGATCGCTGACCACTGATAAGAACCAAATAAATATCTTCTATATAAGATAAAATAAAGTACATATATTTATGTGATATTGTTTCGTCACTTTATTTTATTATAAATTGAGATATATATGCAAAAATTCGCTTATGAAAAGTAGAAATAACCTAACTGAGGAATTTAATTTGTAATATTGCCAACAGAGTTCTAAAGCAAATGATAGCAATATTATAATCAAATCCATATCTGTAGTATACACATTACACATGTGTCGTGGCGCCAAAATCTTATACTATTGCTGTACAAATAGTAAATTTTATATCAATTGCTTTTGCCGTAATTTTCATATTTTCGAAGTTTTTCTCAGGTAGTAATGAAGGATGAGGAATATTACACAGTATTTTGAGGACAATGTACAGTCTACTAATGACGTATTGATACATTCTGATAATGATACGAAAAAAGAAATGAAGTATAGAAAGGATTCTAAAGGAAAGCGTAATCGTGTTAAAATTAAAATATCTCGAACGAATTCTAACGAAAGAGTATGTGATATTATGGACAATAGCAGTGATATGATTGATAAAACGCCTAGTCCATTTGCTAAAATAAATAATGAAGATAAAGATTCATATGAAACACCAAAAAAATCTTTTCCAAAAAGTGTTCGAAAGCCCTCCAAACGAAACAAATCAACAGATCAATCTTCAAGTTATCTAAATTTAGGAACAAATGATTTGGATATAAAAAATAGAGAGCAAAGTAAAGAAGGTAATGTTAAAACTCGATTAAGCAGTAATAAAAAGTATAGAAAAGAATTGAGTAATAAGACAAATATTAGTGAAGATATAAGCATAGATAATACACTTAAAAGTAGAGAAATTATTGATGATATAGAGGTAGTAACTATTGATTCTAATAATGAGATTGAAAATAGTAGGGAAGAATCAAATGCTTTTCAAATTCTAATGAATCGTAATAAGGTAGTTCAATATGTCTCACCAATAAAAGTTCTTCCTCAAAATGAAGAAGTAAATAGCAGAAAATCAGAAGAGTATAGAGAGAAACTAAAACGTTCTAAAGAAAAACTAATAGCGTTAGCTGATAAGAAAGGATATTCTAAAAGAAAACTTGCAGAGATGGAAGAAGGTGAAAAAATAGAACAAATAATACAAAATCGTATAAAGCTGTTTAAAGGTGGAGAGAGAAAGGATAGTAACATGAGTACAACTATTTTAAATCATAAGCAATCAGGTGGTAGTTTATTAAATTATTTCAGGTAAGAAATTAGTAGTTACTCATTTTTTCTCTTGAACTATGAATTTCTTTTATTTTCAATATTCTTTTTTATGTTTATTTTATACAATATAGCAAAATTCCAATGGATTTAGTACATACAAATATGGCAAATATGTCCACTATTGTAGTAAAAGCTGATGTACATATGACAGAAAACAATGCTAGATGTGAATTATATAAGTCAGATTTAAGTAGTACGATACAATCAAATAAGAAACCTAATAAATTAGAATTATCTCAAATGGATGACATTAGAATCATAGAATCTGAAAACATTAATATCTTGAGTAATAAAAAAAAGCAACAAAATGAACAGAATCACAAGCATAGATGGTCGTTGCGAATCAAACTTCAAACTTATGAAAATGAAAATGCTTCAGCAGGTATTTGAAACCTAAATATTACTTCTAATTCATTATATAAAATATCTGAAGAGAGAGAGAGGAAGAGAGAGAAATACATATGATGTAAAAAAATGTATGGGAGTCTCCCAAAATCAAATATTTTGGTTGATGGCAGTGAGCTTTTACACTTTGATCGCTGACTTTTTATTTTAATATTTTATTATACATACATTTTATTGTGTACTTTTTAAAATAAATTATTTACTTTTTAAATAGGTGATACCAGCGATGAAGAATTATTCTCACCAAGAAGTAAGGTTAAATTAGATATGAAAAATTATAAAAAATGTGGATCAACTAGAAATCTAGATTCAGAAAACTTATCAACAAAAAATAGGAATGTAAAAGGAATATCAAAGCCAGCAGATGAATATACAAAATTAAAGCTAGAGAAACGTGAACATTCGGAAAGCTCAAAAAATAACAATAAATGTTTAAATAACAAATCTGAGAATAAACAGAAATTTATCAAGTGTGATGAACATGATTCAACTTTGATAAAAAATAGTAACGTAAAGAACTATAGTAATACTAATTTAGAATATACTACAGAAAATAAACAAAATGAAGAGGATTGTATGATTATCAAGGACAACAGTTTAAAGAGAAAAACATTTGATAAATTAGCTCCTTTATTTACCAAACGGAAAAGGCCAAATCCAGAAATAATTGCAGCACGACGATTGTTTTTACAGCCAGATATGACAGATAATAATAGTAAAAATAAAAATCGGAAAGTAAATGTTTGTAGTATATTACCATTTCCACTCATTAGTCATGTTACACAGTTAAATAATTTATCTTGGCATGAAACTAGCATTTTTAATATCCCAAAAGAAATCTGTAACAATTATGTTCCAATTATAGATATAAACGATTTTAAATCTTTAATAGATTTTTCCAAGAAAAAATTGATAGCTTTAGAAAAAATTAACAAACCGAAAATTCAAGAAGTATTAACAGATATAGAAAAACGTTGTTCAAATGTAAAAGACATGTGGGATGTTATTTCACTTATTGTTAAGGAACAACCTAATAAAATAGTATCTCCTAGAACAAAAACTAAAAAAAGTAAACAATCGGGAAGAAAAGAAGTAATAGAATACAAAACTAAGGAGGATCAATTTGAATACTGTAGTTGGACTTACAAATACAGACCAAAATGTTCTCAGGAAATAGTTGGAAACGAAGAAGCAGTAGCAAAATTGAGGGAATGGCTGCTTGGGTGGAAACCGATGTTTACCAATGAGGATGTTAGCAGTGGAGATGAATTTTATTCATCTGATAGTTGTCAAACAAGAATTAGTGAAAATAATCAAGTAGCTGTATTACTCGGACCACATGGTTGCGGTAAGACTGCGAGCGTATATGCACTAGCAGATGAATTTGGTTACATGTTAGTATTAAAAAATTATATTAAATTAACGTATATGATTAAGAACGTTATATAATTTGTGTATATATATATATAATAAAAAATTCTTTTTTAGTGTATTAGAGTTAAATGCATCATCTAGAAGAACAGGAAAAAAGCTTTTAAAAGAATTAGAAGAAGCAACTAAATCACATCGAATTAAGAAAAATGAGAAAATATCTGTATTTTGTGACCTAGTTTCAGATGAAATTATGCCAAAGAAAATACCACAAAACTCCCTCATTCTTTTAGAAGATGTTGATATTATATTTGAAGAAGATGAAGGTTTTATTTCTGCTACATATCAATTAGCATCAAATTCAAAGCGTCCAATTGTTATGACGTGTAGAGACGTTTGTTCCCATCTCAATAAAATGGCACCTCAACAAAACAGAATTTATTTTCAAGAGCCTGTTGGGAATAGAGTTTGTGTTTTATTAGAATTAATTTCATTGGCAGAAACTGGTTATAAACTTCCATCTAATTGTATAACAGTAAGTTTGACTTATATGATGTATAAACAAAATTAATATGCATTATTTTATTAATTTTATAGAGATGAAATTGTAAATACTAAAATTCTTCTTATTTACAGGAGTTATTGCAAAGTGGTGATTTACGAAAAGCTATATTACAGTTACAATATTTATTGTTATCTGGTCCACCACGAATATTGGAACAGACCATAAGTTTTAAAAATTCATTTTGGCAAAATATACGGTATTACATACACAAGCCGGCAATTAAAATAACTAAGAGGGGGAAAAGGAAAAGAGTTGCAAGTAACGAAGTAACAAATGATGACAAAAACATACTAAATAATATAGCAAATAAATTAGATAATATAGCTTTACTATCATCTCTAATTGAAATAGAAGATTGTGCATTAAATCTGTGGCAAAAAAAAGCACAACCCAATTTATCTTTGGTCGAAAATACTGCTCCATATTCAGCTTCTAGTAATATATGTCTAGAAATAGCTGAATGGATAGGTAGTAAAATTATATGTAAAGAGGAATTGAATGACTACAATGGGACACAATATCAAGATAATATTATGTTAAAAAAACAGTCAAATAAAGGAGTAAATGAAGCCTTGTCACAAACTACATCGTTATTGCTTGACCATCAAATTATAGCTACAGATTACCTCCCATCTGTAAGAACAATATGTAGGGCAGAAGCATTAAGGGCTAACAACAATAATAAAAGAAGAAATCGGTTCTTTCATTATCTTCATAATTTGAAAGCACCATCTACATTATTTCAACCTAATATTTTAGCGGCAGCATGCAAAATAATGCACGATAAAGTTGACAATAATATACAAAGTGAAAATAATAGTGGTCTCTTATAACGATTCATTTTTTGCATTAAATATGTTATAAACATTTATAAACATAGTGCAAATATTATTTTTAAATATATAATAAATCAAAAGAAGCAGTGCATGTTTATAAAACGCTAGAAAAATGAGTGTTATTATTTAATTATATTTTACTTTTTAATCCTTTTTTTTTTTAAAGAAAATAGATTGTAGATTGTTAGTCATGCCTACTTTTATAATATTAAAAACATACATAAATATTTTATATATTAATAATGAAGCAAAATACCTGTTATCTTGAAAAATATTCAGCATTATATATCTTTTTTCTAAGAGCAGTAATATTGTATAAGCATAGAATTAATGTAAAGTTGTATTATACATAGTGCCTCTAAACTGTCTTAAGCTAACAGATTATGTCTTGAATCTTATGATTACATAAATAAAAGATATATTTATTATTAATCAATGTTTTTTATTTTCTTTAGTAAGAATGATATCAATGTAGAGACTTAAATTTTTATATGATGTAACTTGCGATTTAATTCTTCAAATTTTAGAATTTTGCGAATGAAGAAGTCTCCATAACGATGTGCTACTTTCGTGTCCGCAATATGAATCATATCGTGATCTATATAAAAATCCAGCTGTAACAACATGCGTTGTGATTATTTTTTAATGATAGTAAATATAAAACTAAATTAATCAATGTCATATTAAATAACAAATTACCTCTGAGCCAGATTGAAATTTTCCATCTAATCCTGATGCACCTTTTGTCCAAACAATATTCTTCATTTTATGTTTAAAACACAATAGATGAATAGTTAATGCACTGACTTCTTTATCTAAATCCCAGCTCTCATCTGGTCTAGTATTACTACACATAAATGTAGCTAGTTTACTTAATGGCAAAGTAGTATATAATTTTAAATATGAACGAATAGTTGGTAACATCTTTTGTTGAACAACTTCATCCATAAAGACTTGAGTTTGATGCTTAATTGCTTCTCGAACATAATCTTCAGTTGGATTATCAGGGTTTGGTGGTGTAAGAGATAAAAACTTTGGACATGCAAATAGAAAGCATGATTCAAATTCAACTAAATCTCCATATTGCATTTTATACATTTTTTCATGATAATTTTTGTCACGTAATGCCTGTTGTAATCCGTCATCTATACATTGTGGATGAAGAACAAGACAGATTGCTAATAAATGATACATTTGCTCTGTTTGCTTATTAATTTGATCATTTTGGTAACTTCTTGTTGCAAACAACTGTTTGGTTCTTTGAATATATAATAAAATACCAGAAAATGTTCTGATTGCATCTGCATATCTCCGCATCATCATATAAGCAAAACCAACATAATATGCTGTTGATATTTGACAACCAGGAACATGTGAGTATGCACTCTTTTTATAAAGTTCAACATTTTCTAATACTTTAATGGCTTGATAATAGTCTCCCAAAAGAGAATGTAAACGTAACAATCCTACAAGAGAAAAATATCCAAGCATTTTATACAAAGAGTGTCTTCCAAATACACCAGCAACAGAATCTGGATCTCCACCACTTGCATATACTTCTAATTGACTTTTGATTTTTGATTTGTCTACTAAATAATGTAAAACATTTAAAACACACAATACATCCCATGTTTTGCTATGTGCATTTAAATTTTCAATTTCTTCAGGTGTTTTATTTGATAAATTAGCACGATATTGAGTAAAAGACTGAAATTGGTAAACAAATTCATCAATAAGCTCCCATAACCATTGATCGGGTAACTCTAATTGAACTGGAGTCTCTGGACGTAAAATATAATTAAAAAGATCACAATAATTATAAAAAGAACCAAGACGTTGTTCTAATGTTGGTCCTTGCATTCGGGCATAGATATGACGATAATAAAGCTCTTTATACAGAGTAAGAAATACTGGATCATTGTCAACTATATGTGCAATTGTTTGAGTATCTGGCCAGGAAGACTTATCAAATAATTGTTCTGAGATTTTCGGGAACGTTGTTTCATAAAGATTTTGAATCTCAAAAATCATTCCTTCATTTATACAATTGCGTAAGAAAACCAGAAAATTTCGTACAACTTCTGGTACTTGACGATAACCTAATCTGTCATACTGGTCACCATGAACATCTGGTGGTCCATAATCGTCATAAGCATCATACTGAAAATAATATAAATATTAATCACTACAATATGATAAAAAATACGAATATTTACTTAAGTAATATTTACCTCGCTATAATCGTCATACATGGTAATTACTTTTAACTAACTTTATATTTTATATAAAACACTTGGTATAATCTATGCGTTAAAGCAACAAGCTAACCAAAAAGATCGGCAGATAGTTCATGAGTTACTAAATGGCATGATCATAAACTAATCCAAACTAAGATATGCCTCTTACAAATTGTATTTGAAGATAAAATTAAACATTAATAGTCTAGCCGACGAGTCAAGGCAATAAACATGAACAAAATTTAATTACTACGGTTGCAACTATTTGGTGCCGTCTAGTGACACTTAAGTGACACTAATTGGCAACTAATATTTGCAACCGCAATAATCAAATTTTGTTTACGTTAACTGCCTTATCGCATTGGACGAATTATAGATGGCGTAATCAAACAGCAATGAATGTTCTTCACTATAATTTATTGTTTATGGTAGATGTCTTTAAATATATAAGTATATTGTCACGGACACCACATGTAAAGGTGTGTGTCATTTTTGTAAATGTAAATTTATTGTGTGCTTGTTGGTATATAAAATGGGCATATTAGAAAAAATATCTGAGATTGAAAAAGAAATTGCTCGGACGCAAAAGAATAAAGGTTCGTACATATCTCAAGATTAAATTGTTTTTTCTAACCTTATGTAGAAATGCTTCTATATATTCATTTATGCATACTCTTGTAACATACGCAAAGAATTACACATAATACAAACATTTGTCATTTCCGATATACATAGTTTTGTCCTTTTATTAAAATTAGTATTATTGTTAAAATACTTCAATATTGATAAATCGTCTTGGAACTAACTAAATCTTTGCTGTTTTGTATACACTGCTAATTTATTGATAAAATTTATTTTAAAAAATGTTTGTATTTATTATTGATCATTATTTATAATTTATTATATTTCTATTAAGTTTTTCCATATATATTTTACAGAAAACAATATAAATTTATTATTATCATTGCTATCACAATAAATATATGTGGCAAAAAGATCATATATATTTTTTCTATAAAAGTTATAAGTTGAATAATAGTTAACTTTATTTACAAAATTTATTTTCAGCTACTGAATATCATTTAGGTTTATTAAAAGCAAAGCTTGCAAAGTATAGATCACAACTTTTAGAACCACCAAAGAAATCTGAAAAAGGAGAAGGGTTTGATGTATTAAAATCAGGAGATGCAAGAGTAGCTTTAATAGGTTTTCCCTCTGTAGGAAAATCTACTTTGTTAAGTACATTAACACACACAGAATCTGAAGCAGCATCTTATGAATTTACTACTTTAACTTGTATACCTGGTGTTATTGAATATAAAGGAGCTAATATTCAACTTCTTGATCTCCCTGGAATAATTGAAGGTGCTGCACAGGTAATCACAAGATTAAACTTTATATAATACTAATATATAATACTAATATATAATAATAGTTTATAAAAATCTTACATTTGTGAATATTTCATTAAGGGTAAAGGGAGAGGTAGACAAGTAATAGCTGTTGCAAGAACAGCGGACTTAGTTCTTATGATGCTAGATGCTACTAAACAAGATGTACAAAGACAACTCCTAGAAAAAGAATTGGAATCAGTTGGTATACGACTTAATAAAAAAAAGCCAAACATATATTTTAAGATAAAAAAGGGAGGTGGATTGGCATTCAACTCCACATGTCCATTAACAAAAGTAGATGAGAAATTAGTGCAAATGATTTTACATGAATATAAAATTTTCAATGCAGAAGTTCTATTTCGTGAAGATTGCAGTGCAGATGAGTTAATCGATGTGATTAATGCTAACAGAGTATATTTACCATGTCTTTATGTACATAACAAAATAGATCAAATATCAATAGAAGAAGTGGATAGAATTGCCAGGCAGCCTAATAGTGTAGTAGTTAGGTACAATTTTTCTATAGATTTTTATGTAATATGTATATTAAAAAAATTGATTTTCAAATTTTCATATAAAAATATTATTAATTTCATATAAAATATTCATATAAAAATTTTTTGTACCTTAAAGTTAAATATTATAACGTTATAAACACATTTCATATGTTTTTTACAGTTGTAATATGAAATTGAATCTAGATTTCCTTCTTGAAACATTATGGGAATATTTATCTTTAATAAGAGTTTATACAAAAAAACCTGGACAACCACCTGATTTTGAAGATGGTTTAATATTAAGAAAAGGGGTTACTGTAGAACATGTATGTCATGCAATTCATCGTACACTTGCTCAACAATTTAAATATGCTCTTGTTTGGGTAAGTATCACTTTTAATATATTAGGTTTTCACAATATTAATAGTTTATGTTCTTACAATTATTTGTTGAAGATTTTGATTCAATATTTTCTCAATAAACTATCTATTTCTATACTTTGTACAATATTCATTTGTGTGACATGTGATAAATCTTCTCATAAAACTGATAAAACATATTTTATAATAAATTTCTAAAAAATATGTGAAAGAATGTAATAAAGATAATGAATTATAGATAGTAGTAAATTCTCAAATAAATGTCTTAAAAAAGAAGAACATTTTTTTAGATGGATTGATAATATCTTACATATTTTTTTAGGGTACAAGTACCAAGTATTCACCACAACGAGTAGGAGTGCAACATGTTATGCACGATGAAGACGTTATTCAAGTAGTTAAAAAATAAAATTTATACGATTATGTGCATAAATTATCTGTGAAAATCTAAATAGCAAAAATAGAACATTGTATAATTTTGTTTATACATTTTATACGCATTTGCTGAAACGAAAAGGAAGAGATTCTCTTTTAAAATTTACTTCAACTTCTGGGTTTGTTCTATTTAGTATAAATATGAAACATTTATACTATATATTTCTTATTAGTTTAAAAACTAAAATTGTTTAAATGCAACTTTTAATAAATATCATTCATATAAAAATAATCCTAAAGAAGCTAATTTTTTTATAGTTGTATAACAATCATATATACATACCATTTGTTTATTACAAATATATTGCGAAAAATAAATATTGTTTTGTATATTTATTTATATTTACGTAACATATATATTTAAATTATATTATTTTTTACATATATGTGAAGAACGTATCCTACATAAAAAAAATAAATAAATATATAAATTAATCACGAAAGTATTTGATTGTGCCTAAGAAATAAATAAAACATTATTAAATAACCATTACAGTATTTATTTCTTATTTGATTGATAGCAAGATATATAATATACAGAATTGCCTAGCTAAATGGGATCATCTAAATATCCTTTGAAATACTGTAACTTTGTACTGAGAAGATTTTTCATTTAACAATAAATACGACAAATATCCGATGTAAATAAGAAGCAGAACAGTAAATTTGAACTTGGAGAGAGATTCAGGTACGGTGCGTATTTAGGTGATCCCATTTAGTTAGTCTACCTTTTGTAACTTGTAACCTCAAAATTGATATCTTACAACTTAATTTATAAATGTACAAAATTTTGTATCCCAAATAATACTAAAAAATCTTAATCTCTTGGTTGTAAAATATTTATTAGTTACATTAAATATTACAATATGATTCTTATTACAAAAATGTTGGGGAATTACAAACTTAACTACGATAGCTACAATCGAGTAATAATCGCTTTACATGAGGATCCACCTTATTTTACCTGGACAAGAATCATTTACTGCACAGTTGCCTTAATAGTTGGTCACTCGACGAACATACTTGACCTTCGGCCTTCGATAAACTTGACAGTAGACACCTCAACTAAGCAATTAAACATAGGGTAGACAATACAGTAGAAAATGGATTTCATTCTTGTTTTGTTATGATTTTGCTTGAAACTATAACAGCCGTCGGTGAAAAATCATCGTAGGGAAACGTTGTCGATACGTGAAAGTAACTTCGTGTTGAGTGCAACATGGTTTGATTTGTAAAAACGAATCTTTAAAAGAAGTTTATCCGTCCACGGATTCCAAATACAAAAAACGTTAAAGGGGCGATCAGTGCATAGAGGTTTGCCTGCAGTATGCTCAGGGTTTACAATACAGGGATAGTATGGCTGCAGGTGAGGCCAGCACAACAAAGTCTCGTCAAGAAAAACAATACGATTATCTTCTCAAATTTCTGCTGGTTGGTGACAGTGACGTTGGAAAACAAGAAATCTTGAGTGGACTCGAAGATGGTGCTGCCGAATCTCCGTTTTGCAGCGGCAGTGGTATTCTACGATTTTCCTTATCAGTATCTTTTAGCTACCTCTTTTCCCTTTCCCTCTAATTTAAAATAATGCACTTGCATCGTGTTTAATTTAACTTTATTTCATTAGAACTACATAATCAATGTCATAAAATATAATAATATTTGTTTAATTGCAAATAAGATAATAAGGAACATACCAGAGAAATTTCACGTTAATTATTTCTGATTTGTTGATATTTGTAATAAACATTAATTTGTTACCTATTTGATAAAACTAGTTTAAATCTTATGACTTGTAATTGAACATGAAAATATCAATTTAAAGATTCATGCGAGCAATTTTAAAATAAGATTTTAGAGAATCATACAAAAGCTGAATAAGTATATTATATTACATTATATTCTGATTTATTCATTTTAATTGTGTCATCCTGTAACACTTGTTTTATTCCTAACAATTTGAATTTTCTATTTTCTCTCTTGAACAATTTGAATCTTAAATACTTTGAACCTACTTTTTAGCATATAAAACTACTACTATCTTACTGGATGGAAAGAGAGTAAAATTACAATTATGGGACACATCAGGTCAAGGTAGATTTTGTACAATAATCAGATCTTATTCTCGTGGGGCTCAAGGTATATTTTTAGTCTATGACATTACCAATAAATGGTCTTTTGATGGCATTGATAGATGGTTAAAGGAAGTTGAAGAGGTATATAAAAATGATCTTAAATATCAATTTTATATTATTAAGCAATTATTATATAGTTAAATTTAATTGTAGCATGCTCCTGGAGTACCAAAAGTACTTGTTGGTAATCGCCTTCACTTAGCTTTTAAAAGACAAGTGGGAGAACGTGATGCTGAAGCATATGCAGCTAAAAATCATATGGCATTTTTTGAAGTTTCACCTCTTTGTGATTTTAATATTCGTGAAAGTTTTTCTGAACTTTCTCGAATGGCTTTACATCGTAATGGAATGGAAAGATTATGGAGATCTAATAAAGGTAATGCATTTCAATTTTTGCTATAATAATTTTTTTTAAATCTGTTACGAATACCAATCTGATTTTTAGTTCTCAGTCTTCAAGAACTTGCATGTCGTGCAATAGTTGCAAGAACAACAGTTTATGGTATTGATCAGCTTCCATTGCCTAAATCCATTAAATCTCATTTGAAATCTTACGCAATGACAACTACATCTCAATTACGTTATAATGGAAATAGATCATTGAGCTCCAGTAAAAGTCTAGGTTCTCATCACCGAAAATTACGTTTTGTTGGTGTAGGTCATAATGGACTATCAACTCCAGGTAGTTCACCTGGTAGTATAACAGATTCTCGTACCAGTTGTGTTGGTCGTAATTCTTGCACAATATCTTGAGAATAATTTTATGATTATAATTGTAAATATATAATATTAATTCTTCCTTCCTGTCTTGATGTAAAGAGTTTTGTTAACATGTGCCATCAAAAATAATAAAACATTGAAATCTTTTTTTTTAATAGTAATTATAGCATGAAATATTAGCAGTAAAATTTAAAAAAATAAAAAAAATGATTTATTTATAATTACAAAATATAAATAATTATAGCGCTTCTATATTTAATTTTATAGTTATGTAATATTACAATTTTTTTGTCATATTTCTTTAGTAGTTTTACAATATTTGAAATAATAGTTTAATAACTTTTGTTAATGATTCAAAAATTTCATTATCATTAATGAAAAAATTATGAATTTTATTAAAAGTGTAAAGATATATAACAAATCAAAAAGTTCTTACTGTCTTTTCTTAAATTTTGATGGACAATGTTTTTTAAAACGAATCTATATTAAAGCAGGAAAAGATGAAGCGAAAAGTACAAGTTCACTAAGTCTACAAAGGTTGTGGTGTAGACTAGAAATAATGTAAGTTGAATAGTTTAGAGCAGCTAATTGGATAATAATACATAAGGACAAATCCAAAAATGTATAATAATTTAACAAATTTTTTAAAATATTATTAGTTTCCATGTTACTAGTATTCTTGTTCAGTAATAATACGAGAAAATTTGTTTTACTGTGTCACTTTTGAAATATTTTAATATGTATTTATATACAAAATCAATTCTAAATTTATATTACACATCTAGTTTTGTCTTTCTATTACTCTTTTCTAAAAATTAATTATGCAAAATTGAATAACATTCTTTATAATAATGCAAATATTACACCTTATTTAAATATTTTAATATAATTATATATTATTTTATTTGTACAGTGTAAGTTTATAAAAATTATGTTGTGTATTGTGTAAATATAAAAGAACTCATTCATACTATACTCATATTTTGATAAATTTCACTATAGTAGATTACTATGATTTTTTAATATCAGTAATACAATAACAGCAATTCTAATCTAGCAAATTCTTTTCTTAACTTTCTGCTCTTAACAATTACTTTAAAAATTCCATGAAAAATAATTGTTATTATTAAACCATAGACATCTATCGTATGAAATTTATCAAACTGTGATAACGATTTATACGATAGTTTTTTTAAAGATTACATGATATCAAGAAAACATATAAGATGTATTTATACTGTGTAAAATTCAAATTAAATTATATGTGTATATAAAAGCAGCCATTATTAATTAATATATATGATATGATATGATATGATATGATATATACATATATAAACATAAACGAAGGAGGAGGGTTTCTTGCTTGTCCAGAGGAATATATTTAACGTATGTATATTATATGATACTTACAGAGTAATATTTGTGTTATTTTAAAATGAAATATGACATTACTTATTAACCTTTTACCAATTTATCTTTTTCTTGCTAATTTATGTCATCTTTTTAATTGTTAATACATATATTTTAACAAAAAGAGATACAATATAATGTAAAAGAGATCATTGATTTCATCATTGCTGTATATATATATCACTTTAAAAGTTTTCATAAATATTGAAATTGTGGAGAAAGTGTGTGTGTGAATAATTGAAATCAAGTAAAAAAGTTAGTTTCTTATTTGTTAAATATTATAAGAAGCTTGTTTATGTTTATATCTAATAAATAATTTTGTTATAAAATATAATGTGATATATATCACATATTTAAACACATTTCCATCTTAGTATTATGTTTTGTAATATTATAAAATGCATTATAAATGCAAAATACAAATTTCTTTCAACCTATTAATGAACATAGTAGAAGTAATTGCTTCTAAAAAAAATATTAATGCACTTGTGATGGTCACAAAATTGATAAGAATATAACATAATTTGACATTTAACTATCTTATATATAAACAAATATTTTTAAATCAGATCAAATGTAATATTGTGCTAATTTTGTCTCTAATCACAAAGAATTTTATATTATAATCGAATAAATAATCGAATATAATCGAATTAATTATACAACAAAAATACGACGATTTAAACAACAAATTATAATTAGAACCCTAAATTTTATATACTTTAGAATTAGATGACATTATATTTTATTATATTTTTTCCACGTATGTACAATATAACATAAAAATGATCTATTTTATAAAATTTAGATACTTGAAAATTGAATATGCTATATTTAAATGTAAGTAATATATTAGATAGTGTTTTAATTTTAGTTTAACATATAACTATAAAAAATACTTACAATTTTAGTTGATAATAAATAATAAATTGTTTTCTACTAAAAAAATAAGTTAAAAATTGTATTATACGTAATAATTTATTTATAGATATTCTCTGGGTAGTCATTATAAAATCAAATTTTGAATACATATTAATATCAATTTCCATTCAATAAATTTATATAAATGAAATAAAATTGCTTTATTGTTATGATGCATTTGACTATCCTTACACAGAGTATATCATTAAAAAATGTTCAATTGTTTGATAAAAGACTAATGCAATCTAAATTTATTTCAAGCATCTATTTTTATATTTTCCAGTTCTTCTTATATAAGCTTTGCAGACAGATTTAATCAATGTTTATTTAAGGAATATATTTGTATAATTAAAAGAAAAATTAGAGAGAAATGACAACAATTGATGATATATCTATGGTTGAAGACAATGCTTCCCTTCCCAGTAAAAGGAATCTCTGTGTTCCTCAACAGTTATCAGAAGTAAATGAATTATTAAAGTCAATCAATAGAAGACTGGAAGATTGTGCTTTAGAATGGCAAGCAGAGATTTCTCGCAAACAATGGAAAATTTTTAATTCTAATGGCACTGGAGTAACTTCATCTGAACGATCTCTATTAGCAAGAACATATTTTACAGAGAAAAATCTTGATGAAGCTTTCCAACATTTACTTTCTTGTAATAAGATCTTTTCAGAATATTTAAAAAATTTTATTGGTAAGTAAATTAAATATAAGTATTTATATGTTTATTAATAAATGCTAATAACAATATGTTATCAAAATTTAAGCTATTATAATAATCTATTATTAGATCTTTTACAAGATGAAGTATCTGTTTCAAATGTCAAAGAAACATGTGATGTACAAAATCAATGTTTTAATAAAAAAAAAAGTTGCAAAGTATTGGATATCAGTAATAGAGGACCAACACAACTTTCTCCACTTTTAAATGGGGAAGAAGTTCAAGATTATATTGATAACATATTAACAGTCCAGAATTCATTTACTGATGTGGTAAAAGCTAAAATTAACTTTGATACAAAATTTTTGGGGTTTGAAGCTGTATTACATAAAGCTACATCTACATCAACTGATGCAGTTTGCCTTTGTCAATATTGTTCTAGTATTATGGTAATATATTTCACCTGTATTATATTTTACTATTGTTATAATAATATACCTATATATTCAATTGCATATTTTAGCAAGCTACACATGGTACACACAGAAAATTAAGAAGTGTAACTCTTAATCAAAGAAATCGAACAGTTGCAAAACCTAAACGCCTAATTAAATCTAAAAGAACATTATCCAAAAAGAAAAAAAAAGAAAAATCATCCACAGTAGTTGATAAAATCAACGATCAATTACCACTTGAAACACATACAGGAATCTGTTAATACAATTTTGTTATATTGTACTTATTTCCAATTAATCATTAAATTTTTGTTAATTTTTGTGGATATGAAGAATTTAAACTAAACAGTAACATATACATCCAAAAAGATAATTTCCATAATTTACTAGAGGAATTCATTTATTATCTTTTACATTATTAGTACATTTCATTTTAATGTTAAAATTTTCCTAAATGATAAATAATCACTAAGCGATTCACTATTTCTAATTTTGAAAGCTTTATTAACTTTTAATTAAACCATTGGAAAATTTAAACATTAAAGTGATTTGTATCAATTTTATATACTTCTTATAACTTACAGTTTTGTTTCTATATTAAAAATATCATATAATAGTTTTAATAGATATATTATATTTAATAAGCAATTTACAATACAACAAGGATCTATACACTTTTATGCTTAATTTTGTAATAATGAATTAATACTTTATCATTTGTTTTAATATTAAAGTAATTACAATATACATGAATTCAGAAGAAGCATTAAACTCTACTTGTTGCAACAAATGCTGTTAATATTATGTAAATATCATTTTATTAAACATGTACATGGGTATTTAAAATTCTATTTTTTAAATATTCGTCATAGTACGCCATTAACTGCTAATATCGTTTTGTCTTATTTGCTAATATGCTAATTTGGAAGAAAATATATTGTACAAAAATGTTTTTGATTTTACATATATATTACATAAAAATATTACAATAATTTGCCAAATAAGGTATATGACTTTATATATTACATTTTCCAAATTTTGCAAGTTGATATTTCAAATAACATTTTTTTTAAATTAGCAATTTATAAATAAATGTTAATAAGAGATACTTATAGAAGTTACAAACATTTATTGTTACAAACTTCTACCAAATGAATGATTAATTTTTAGTTATATTTAGTTATATTGAAATTAACAGCAGCAGAAATGTATTAATGAATACAATAAAGATATTTTAATACAAGTTACACATAATTTTTAGATATTTTATCTTGGAGTAAATATGTCTCTATCCTACATTCTAAATAACGAATAAATCTAGATTCTAGGTAGTAGACAAGTTTTACTATTTTGGTAACATTAAAATTTTTTTAGTAATCGTTAAAAGAATAAATTTTACATTCGTAAAAAGAGATTCAAAATTAATAGTATTTAGTTTTTAGTAACTTACTAAATAAATACATCAGTTTAAATTAGCCTAATCAATGCAATGAACCATTATAATGTCCTATGTCTATAACAGATTCAATATTTCATTAACATTACATTATGATTTCTATGAACAGCCAACTTGTATCAAATTTCTTCTTCCATTAATATTATGAATATCCATAAAAGGTTTCTTGTTCACTTGGCTCATTAAAATTGTACCACTACAGGGGAATCTTATGAGGAAAGACTTTCTTTATTTGGTAT